CTCGATGTTACACTGAACACCCTCCTCCCACTACTATACTCTCTCTCTCCCTCTCTGTCTCTCCCTCTCTCCTCTCTCTTCCTCCACTGTGTCATTTGGAAGTCTGAGCCCCACGCGGCCACTTCACCGGCACGTCCAAAAAGACAGCACCGGGATCAAGGTGGTGGTGGAGGAGGAGGAGGAGGAGGTGAGGAGAGAGAAAGAGAGAGAGAGGAGGGAGGGAGGGAGTGATAGAAGAAGAAGAGGAGGAGGGAGGGAGAGGGAGAGAGAGAGAGAGGAGGAGGAGGGAGAGAGACAACAGATCCACGTAGGGAAGCACATGGACAGAACATTTAGTTCCCGGGATGTGAGAGGAGAGAGGGCCGGGGCTTGAGCTGAGCAGACGCGGGGTGAGGACGCTGCACGGAGGCGGAGAGCAGAAGGAGCGCGCCGGGGGGACGTGAGTGTGACATGTTTTATTTTTAAAAATCTTTTATTATTCTCCTGACTTGATGGAGCAGTTGGTGAGGACGCGAGGCTCCTCTTCGTGAATTAATGCGTGTTTTACAAATAGATTAAATATAAGACTTAATTATAAGCGTGGTTAAAGTAGCGCTATAGAAGGATATTTTTTTGTAAGTAAATGTGTTGTGTTGAAGTCGGGATCCTTTAAGATACAGGATGGTGTGGGGGCATTTAAGGTTACAGCGAGGTCCCACAGGGCTGTGGAAATAAGGGCTGATAAGTGTGTGTGTGTGTGTGTGTGTGTGTGTGTGTGNGTGTGTGTGTGTGTGTGTGTGTGTGTGTGTGTGTGTGTGTGTGTGTGTGTGTGTGTGTGTGTGTGAATATGGTACTTGGCTCTGGCTCCTGGTGGCGCTGGATGATGATGATGATGAGGACACCGGTTTACATCCAGAATCCCCTGAGGCTTAGGTGTATCTTCATAAATTACAGGCTGCATCACAACAGCTTCTCAGAATTGGTAACTCTACATCACTCTGTGCTGATTCTTGCTCATTTTGAAAGCCAGCCGGGCATTACAGGATGGATAATTGTAGCCTCCCAACAACATGAACTATGTGGGTGTCATCGTGGCTTTGAGATTTTGGAAGCTGAGGGGACATTTGGCCTCCTGACGCCGGGCGATTGGGTTGAGACAAAGTGCCAGAGGGGAATCAAACTGCTTCAGGAGTGTAGAGGAAAAACAACTTATTGGTCCAAATGCATCAAAATGAAGTGTAAAGGATGACCATCTTCTGTTGTCGTCTCATGCTTTAAAAAAAAAAGTGATAATCAATAAAAGCAACTTAAGTTTTCTTCCCCGCCTCCTTCTTAATGCCCTGTGATGCATTTGGCAGGTTTAAAAAAAAAAGAACCCCCCCCCCCCCCCCCAGCCTCAGACAATGCTATGCCTCAGGATGTCAGTCAGGTTGGTTGGGTCGTGCAGTGTGTTCTCACAATGCTCACATGTATGAATCAGCAGCAGAACACGGCCGTGAGGAAGTACATGCATAGATACTCTGGGTTCAGTCTGTGGATGTGGTCTTCGGTCTCACTGTGCTCTGTTCCTGCATTAGCCTGCAGGGTATCTGAGTTTAGGTACATGTTGCGCAAATGCCATCTAATCTGTGTCATAACTATCTGCAGACGGTATCCCTCTTTATTGTGTTTATAGGGAGAAGCAAAAAAGTCAAAATTGACAAAATGAGTTAACTTTTGATTATGTGACTTTATTCATGATGGTAATTTGTCACATTATGTCTCCAATTGCTTTCTTGAATTTTGTTGATAGTAAATCTAAAGGTATGGTCACCATGACTGTTTAAAATCGGTGTTTTTATCAAAAAAAATTGAAGCTGGATCGTACGTGAAGGGGTCAGATTGGTAAACACCATCAGGCTTTGCCAGCGGGGAACCGTGAATAGAAGGAACATTGTGTTCAGACACACACGCGCACACACACACACAAATGCATACACATGCACAGCGAAAGACATCTAAAATGAAACCCATGAAATTCTACCGACACAGGACAAGGTGTATAAGCACAGAGGAGACGGACATTTTGTTCTGACTTGTGTTTGAGAGTCCAGTAAACAAACACTTGGTGTTTGTGAGTGATAGGACATTGAAGAAGCAGGAACAATTGTGCATCTTTCATTAAGATAGATCTTTATGGGTTTTAACCCATGGGTTCAGGCACATGGTTGGTGCCATGGCTTCAGCTCTTGCTGTTCCCAGGATCTGACCGAGAAAATGAGTTCTGTTCTGTTTCTTCATCAATATTCAGTACGATGAGCTTATTGCCAAAGATGGTGCATCTCGGGCTGAGCTCTGCGGCTTAATGTTCATATTTACAGGCTGTTTATGAACTCAGTGTCCTCGGCAGAATGTCCTAATATTTGCACTCGGTAGTCAACACAATCTAGGATTGCTGAGGGAAACGTATTGAAAAGAAAAGCAGGAATTGAGAGCTACCGTTGCCCTCAGTCAGAATGCACGGCCCTTGAGCAAAGTTTATAGCCTTAAACTATCTCTGTGGAAATATTAAGTGGCCACAAGACTGCTGTCTGATCAGCACAACTTGTCCTCTCTCTCATGTTCCTGTTCAGCCTTTATTGCAAATATAAATATGATTTTAAACATTTAAAAGAGATGAATACAACAGAGAGTAAGTATTTTTACTCTTCTGTACTTAGGCTTCATATAACATTATGTCATGGGGAGGAGACTGGAATTAAAGTGTGATAAAAATCTTTGCAATGTGACATCTTTGAGGAAATCTCTTATCTTTATTTATAAAGACAAAAAACACTAAACAAAGCTTTTGAATCCTTCACTGATCCGCTTAGATTATTATTTGTTCCAAGATATCATTTGTAGTTGGTCCATGTGCAAAACACAGCAACAATCTTTTTTTGTCTTGGAGCTGAGTCCAAAAACGTCACAAAAACGTTTGCGTCTCAAAGACTTATTTTTATTATTAAAAGCAAATTTGAAAATGCACAGAATTTCTGAGCCATAATGGTTTAATGCCTCTGCACCTGATCAAGAGCCATTTTGGGCTCGAAACCTTTAAATCTAATGAAGTGAAGCACAAAACAGTAGTTTCTAATCCATCTTTATCTCATGGTAAATGATAGACTCTCATTGACGTTACTTCATACCCTCGGCCTAACATTAGCAACACGCTTCCAGAACAGCTGTGATCTCATGCCATGTGAGAAAGTGCTAACGTCTCAGCTGTTACGAGCATTAATAATCACCAAGGAGCATTTGCCAATTGCTTAAAGCAGCAAACCTTTTGATTGTCTGCGGACAAGATCATTCTGCCAGGGCAGACTTGAAAACGCCTGCAGCCACGTTTACAGAGACAGCAGACATGTGTGTCGACACATATCGCTGCTGTGATGTAGAGAGGTGAGGTTTAGCAGCTGTAGCACCAACAGGTCATAACTGTTTAACTGCTCTGGCAAAGCTGCAGGTGACAGATGAATGTGTGAGATGGCAAACAGCATCCGTCTGTCAGTGTGGAGCAATGAAAACTGTCATGGCACAAGAGCTGCCATTGACTGTTTGGTTAGATTGTAACTTTGTTGATGTTTTCTTTCATTAGATAATCCTTGATCAAAATGTGACTCGAAATTTTAAGCATTTTTAATTAATTTTTTTATTCAGGCAAAGCTCTTGCACAGCAACTCCAGGACATCTTAGGTTTTTGTCGAAAAACATACGTACTTTATTTAATGATAACTAAGGTATTAAATATGAAAGGAAAACTACATCAGGGTTGTTATCAGCACTAATATAACTACCACTAGATACAAATCTTTCTGTCTTTGATGTCTGGTCAGATTCTTAATACTGCTGACCTGCTCTTCATTGTGATGGTCCATCATTTTAATTCACATTTAACATTCGACTTTTGGTTTCTTGCACTAAATAAAAAAAGAGGTTTAAAATTTCTCAAAGCAACACATTTCACAGAGCGTTAAATAGAGCCTGGTTGATGATGGATTTTTGGGGCCAATGACAATGCTGATGTTAGGTTGTAATAAATACACACACACACACACGATGACACAACGATTTTCCTACGGTGAAGACGCCACCCCACAATTAGCTGTGATGCGTACTCTGCTGCATGTGATGCAGACAGTGCTCCTGGGAGTATTATTAACAATGGACTCAGAGCAGGCTCTGCTGGACAAACTATGTGACGACACCAGTTTTAGTAAATCATCTTTTTCAGCATCATGTTTTGTAAATTAAGTTTTCACATCAGCGCATATAAGTACATCATGTAAGTCGATATATCTGTGCCTGTCCTAGAAAAAAAAGAAGACAATTAAGCAACTGTAGCCGCTGCCTTTAACATAGATCTACAGTTATGTAATTACTTCATCTGTGGAGGTGTGATACAGGAGGGTGTTATCACAACCACACTCCAAAGTACAAATGAAATCAACTAAGTTAATGTTGCTTTAGCAGAATAAAAACAGTAAATGTACCTTTAGTACAGAACAAGAATTCAGAGCATGTGTCTTTAAATTGCAACCAGTTGTATAATGCGAAGAAAAAGTCATATTCACTGGGCAGATATTTAAATCTTGTATTGATAAATCTTTCGTATTCATCATGATCCAGCTCACTGGTGCAATTTATTTCATGTATTATTACAAGGAAGTTGTGTTTTACCCCTGTCTGTTTGTTTCTTTGTGAACGAGATTATGCAAACTATTGTAATATAACAGATTACTATGCAACTTGGTGGAAGGATATGGAAATGCGTCCACATCCCATCAACATATTGATTTCTCAGAGTATAATTCATGGATCTTAATGAAAAAAATTAGCCCCATGAAGGGCAGTGATATTTGGCTGTGTGTATTTGGGTGTATACGATTGTCATTCTTGTTTTCCTTGTTTTAAGTCTGTTCTAATAGGAAAACCTGAGACACGAGGACATGTTATTTAAAGGGCTCATGTCACTGACTGTGTGTTCACATTTTTTGTTGCAGTGTTACTGTGTAATGCAGAAATGACCACTGATCAGGATTTACTTATGGATGCCCCGTCAGCCACAGCCATATTTGCGGCGAAGGGCATTGATATAACACCCCACAAAGACCAAGGAGTCCTCAAGGTATTTTATCCTTTTAAATTTTACATCCCACCATATGAAATGTTCATGATTCTTTTCTGTCTGTTTATTTTCTCTGTGAAAATGCTGGAACTTCGTCTTGTTTCGCAGGTTGTAAAACGTCCAGGTTTAGATGGACACCGACCGATGATTGGGGACCGAGTGACTGTACACTACACTGGAAAGCTGCTCACAGGGAAGAAGTTTGACTGCAGTCGAGATCGTAGAGAACCTTTTAGCTTCAATTTGGGAAAAGGTGACTTAATGCATGACTGTCAAACCTGATGATGTGTTAATGTTGTCTCTTAAAGGAATAACTGGATATTTTGGAAACATCCTTATTTTGAGACTTGACCCCACTCTCATGATTGTTAGTAAAAAAGGAAGTTACTGCAAGTAGGCATTTAATTTAGACTGGAAACAGTTGTTAAATGAACATCTGGTACTTTTAAGCCCTTTTCTAATGGGTTCATACAATACTGATTAAGCCTGTGATGTCTGTGGCACTCTAGTTGCAATGCGTTTTATGTCAAATAGCATGTTTGCCAGACATAAAGAGGGGAGCAATGGATACAGAGTAGGCTACAGCAACTAGGAGTATATAGAAAATGGTATAAAAACCTATAATGCATCCAATCAAAGTCTCTGATGCTTCAGATAAAAAAGGATTTTGCGTTCAGCCTTACAATTTAAAAACAAAAGTGATTCACTGGGAGGACAAACACAGAAAGGCAGGTACAGTATTTTGAGTACACTATAGATTTTTGCAGGTTTAAGTCATATTAAAACACCAAGTTGTGGTGGAAAAACTCAGTATACTTTGATGTTCAATTGTTGAAGCGGCATTTATGTTGCATCTTTGTTTTTTGGAAAGTTATGGACACAAGCCTCTTCATCTTGTCTCCATACTTTATGTTGGCTTCAGCTTCATAACAGAATCTAAACCTGCCACCAGAAAGAAAAAAATATGACTATCCCTTAAATACATTTCTGTATTTCCCTCCTTGACGAAAATTCATCCGGTCAACTTCAAACTTGGCCAGTGTGTTGTTGAGGACCCAATGTTGACTGAGTTACCAGGTCCTTTATTGCTCTTATCATTCTTATGTTTCTCACAGGACAAGTCCTAAAGGCGTGGGACATCAGTGTGCTGTCTATGAGGGAAGGAGAGCTGTGCACGTTACTGTGTAAACCAGAATACACTTATGGATCTGCTGGAAGTCCCAACAAAATTCCTCCCAACTCCCTCGTAGTGTTTGAGGTAGGTGTGCCATCACAGTGCTGACACTTTGTGCCAGAAATCTGTGCGTCAGCGTTTGCAGAAAGGGTTTTGTGTTTGTTTGGAGTTTAACTGTGATACAATTTGTGTTTTCTCATTGATCAACGATCTGCTTCCGCTTCACAAGTTAAAGCATGTTAAGCATGTGATCATTTCTCATGTCCTGTTAACTTTTAACAGAGGTATTGGATGTAACAATTACTAATTAACTATTTTCAAGCAGTATATAGATATAATCTGAGAAATGTTTTACAAGCCTTGTAATGTAGTTGTTA